ACACACACACACACACACACACACACACACACACACACACACACCCTCCTGAGGTTAGTATGAATTATTCAGACTCTGAGGTCAACTCTGCAGAGCTCAGCACACAGCCTCCTTCAGAGGACCGAAACCATCAGCTGCTGCAGAGCCCACATCCAGACCCTCCACACCCACATCCAGACACCCCAGACCCTCCAGATCCACGTCCAGACCCTCCAGACCCACGTCCAGACCCCCAGACCCTCCAGACCCACGTCCAGACCCCTCAGACCCACATCCAGACACCCCAGACCCACGTCCAGACCCCTCAGACCCACATCCAGACACCCCAGACCCTCCAGACCCACATTCAGACCATCCAGACACCCCAGACCCACATCTAGACACCCCAGACCCTCCAGACCCACATACAGACCCCCAGACCCACATCCAGACCCCTCAGACCAACATCCAGACACCCCAGACCCTCCAGACCCACATTCAGACCATCCAGACCCCCCAGACCCACATCCAGACACCCCAGACCCTCCAGACCCACATACAGACCCCCCAGACCCACATCCAGACCCCTCAGACCAACATCCAGACACCCCAGACCCACATCCAGACCCCACAGACCAACATCCAGACCCTCCAGACCCACATCCAAACACCCCAGACCCTCCAGACCCACATCCAGACCCTCCAGACCCACATCCAGACCCCCAGACCCACATCCAGACCCCCCAGACCCACATCCAGACCCCTTAGACCGACATCCAGACACCCCAGACCCACATCCAGACCCTCCAGACCCTCCAGACCCACATCCAGACCTCCCAGACCCACATCCAGACCCCTCAGACCAACATCCAGACCCCCCAGACCCACATCCAAACCCTCCAGACCCACATCCAAACCCTCCAGACCCACATCCAGATCCCCCAGACCCACATCCAGACTCTCTAGGTTCAGCTACAGACCCCCCGGATCCAGGTGTTCTTTATGTCATTCAGATGCTCCTCATGTGTTTCTCAGGTGTTTCTCAGGTGGTTCTCAGGTGTTTCTCAGGTGTTACTCAGGTGTTTCTCATGTGTTACTCAGGTGTTTCTCAGGTGTTACTCAGGTGTTTCTCAGGTGTCTCTCATATGTCTCTCAGGTGTTACTCAGGTGTT